GTGTGTGTAGCAGCAAGTTGCAGGCCGCCCTAGCGCGCTCCCACGCTCGAAGAGCAGGTACGATGAGGCGACGATTTTTGTTGTTTACGCGCACTCGCTGTCGCCGCCGCATTCTCCCGTATTCCCAAGCAACGCAAAAAAAAAAAAAAAAAAAAAGGATACAAAACTGAACGAACGAGAACGTACCATCTGAGTCATACTATATGTCATACACATTTATCTAAAAAAAATAAAAAGACAAAATGGAAGAACGCAAAGCTTCTTTCCACGGCTCCCACGTCCCGTTTTCTTTTCCCACCCACCCAGTTCGGTTCCCTATTCAGCTCTTCCTTTCGCACGAGGAGGGCGGGTAGGGAGAAAGGAAAGAAAGAGAACGTAGGTAAAGCAACCACGTTGTTTACCGGCAGTCAGCATCCCCCCCCTCCTCACACACACACACACGCACACTTTTTTTTCTCTCTCTCTCCCGGAAGGAAAAGAGATTCTTTAGACCGCCACTCTTCTTCCTGTCGTGGCATCATTCGTTCGTTCTCCTTTTTTTAAGAAGGAAAAAAAAAATGCAACCAAGACCAGCAAGCGTAATGGCAGGGACCCCACCTGGGAATGGTGTGAGCTCACTGCTTATCCCTCTTTTTCATTCAGGATTCCCAAGAAAAATATACTTCCTCCACCCCGGGGAAAAAAATAAAACGAAACTCAAGAAAATGTTTGCTTCTTTTCTTTTCTTTTGTGTGTGAATGTCACGTGATGTTTTTTTTAGGGGGGGGGGGGGGGGGGCAGCGTCGCGCGGTGCCTGTACTCACGTGATACGCCCAGACGGCTAAGCCGTAGTCCCCTGCTCAGCACACATCGTACAAAAGGCGGTCTGCAAGCGCGGGTCACCGCAATGTCCCTGGTTCGAATGCCGCGTGGCCAAGTTTTCTTCGTGACCTCATTGCCACGCGGCATTCGAAGCACGGATCTCGCGGTGACTCTCGCCCTAATCTGTACACGAAGACTGTCTTCCGTATGACGTATAGAATCGATTCGCCCAACCAGGGGGCGCTTCGAAATTGCGATGGTAGCGCCACCGCAGTACAACACATGGTCGTGTCGCGCCGGTCGTGCTCGTAGCGTTGCATTGGCGTCGCAGGTATTTCGAGCGTACGGTGAAGATTTAGAGAAGGATAGAAAGCGTGCAAGAAATATTTCTCATGGTGAGTCAAGAAACGATAGAAAAGCTTCAATAACACGCATCTTCCACCGAGAAAGCGGTTGATTTCCCCGCCAACGAGTCGGGTCCGCCTCGCAAGTACGGCCGTGCCGGCCGTGCGGCGTCTACTAGATAACTTTACAGGTGAGCGGCACTTGTTTAAATTTTGCGCTGTAATAACATTGTGCCTTAAAGATTACTGATCACGATAAACCACTGCTCTCGTGAGTCCTGTTAGACGACGTCGGGATACTATTTTTCGGTCGCTGAACCACCGGCAGACTACGTTCTCGCACTAGAGGCTACGAGTGGGATAGCTTTTCGGGCTCGCCCACGTCGAAGAAATATTAACGTGTCGGGGATCGTGCGGGCCTTGTCTGATAATTCTGGGATGAGATAAGAGCCCCGCGTACAGTTGCGACTACAGGTCCTCGCTGGGCTGGAGTCGCGGACCGGTGCGAGCATTGTGCCGACGCTCGTAATTTTATTAGTATTGTTGAACACGCGTCCTCATCAGCCTGCCTCGGCAGTAGGGAACTAAAACGCCAGGGCACGACCTGAACAAAGGCCTCGTAGATTTCTTACGAGGTTTTTTTTTGTCCCACTTCACTGAGGCAGTAGTTTGCAGTTACTGGGGACCTGCTCCTGCTGATTAATGGTACTTTTTCTGCGAGTTTGAACAATAATGTGCCGCGAGATTCTGTCAGAAAGAGGGGCAAAACAGTTGAAAACGAAAAGAGGCTAGCCTAGACTAAATCTCCAGCATAAATGTCTGCTATGCATATGACTGCACATAATTTTAGTCAAATTTTCATGAAAATGTTCAGTTGGATGGATTTATAAAAAAAACTTCATTTCTCTTTCAGGTTCGAGTTGTCCAGTCCACATGCAAGATTTTCAAATATTGGGTGGGGGCTTGATTCATACTTTCCTGTGTGGGACATTTTAGGAGGAAAATGTTGTGTAGCAAAGAAAACACCAGTGACACATGATAGGTTGTCATTAGCAGAACAATTTTTATTTTCTGAAAAAATAATCCATGCCTGTCAGTGTTTCATTGCTGCTTCACTGAATAACGGTTCTTTCGTGGCATGTTGGCATGTTTTCAAGCGTTTCCAGGAATGTACCGTATTTTCCGGGCTATGCTTTTAAAAATGAAAATTTTAGGCTGTGCGGACTATGCGGGATTTTTGTTTTTCAATATCGTTGATTATGACGAGACGAATTTTGTGAATGAAAGGGTATGTTAATGATAATTTATGTATAATACCAGCTTCTTTTTACGCTAAGAAAGCAGACACTTCTCAAGGTGTGCTGTCTATGAGAGGATATTCGTGACAACTAAGCACCAGGTACAGACGATGCACTGTATGTGTACAATATAAGCAAAATCTATTTTTTACCCCAAATTTGCCCCTGTGGACTATAGTCTGGAAAATATGGTACAGCAGCATAATGCATCGCTTTCAGAAATGTTTTGTTGACAGTGAAAACGATTTTTATTGAGTTTTGTCACAACCACGAGTAGGTAAACACACAACCTTGTGACGGTGACATTGGCGCAGACTCGAAGTATGGCTGGCAGGGCACTTGCAGATGATGTACACATCTCGAGAAGCAAGGACTGTCCAAGAAATTGTAGGGCCGAGAACCCCGACTATTTCAGAGATCTTGCACGGCAGATCAGCTGTTCAAGATATTCCAGATCTCACGAAAGATGTCTCCCAGTTCGTGAGAAAGCAGTCGTCACCTAAGCTTATCCATCTTTAGCCAAGCTATATTGCATCTTGGGGTACAGACTAAACCAAAACGTGCAACTCGAAGACGAAAGAGACTACAGAAGTTGCCAATGAACTAACAATACTTTTAACTGGCTAAGAACCGGGCACACATAGAGAATGCAACATAGATGAGGAAAGGTCACCTGCATCTTCGAGCGAGGGAGTGAAAATTAATTTAAATTAACTAAGAATCTTTCACGAGCAATTACAGGGTTGGTAGGTTTCCTGCAATTAGACTTTATTAAACACCTCAGCTGGCATCTCGTCTAGTGACTTGTTGCAGGATGAGCCTCAGCGTTGTCCTTGCAGGTGTTCACGAAGTGCACGCTGCAGATCCTCGCTGACGTTGGCGGAATCAAAACTGAACCGCCCCCACTGAAAAATAAGTCAATAATATAAGATCTCTGGTGTGATCAGCAGAAAATCGACACTAAATAATAGAAACTTTTATTGTCCCTGGCAAGTAAAAACATAATCAGGCTTTCTTTTTAGTTTAAAAAGGAAGGGGGGGAGGGGGCTGGCTGGTTGAGGCTGTTTGGAAGTGCATTCCTTGTGTGTGTTGTTTGGGAGGGGGGGGGGGGGGATGCATGTGTATATTATAGCGTCGTACATGATGGCTATAAACAGCTAAAAAAACGGGAACAGCGATTAAAGGAGCGATGCAACAATTTTTGTACTTTGCGCAAATACCGCTTAAAACCGATCCCTAACGTTAATAACCTATAAAACAGGCGTTCGTTTTTCACCCCACGCAATAGAAGTCCCAGAAAAAAAATTAAGAAAAACGAGCAGCGTTCACCCCCTCAACTCGCAGCCAGAACAAGCGGCCACGTGATCTGGAGCCGATTATATGCCGCCGGTGTTGATCATAGCCACGCGCTGGGGTTGGCAAAGCGCAGGACACGCGCTGAGTTCCAGACATTGTTATGGCTCGGCTGTTGTCGTCGTTGCAGCGATTGGACACGGGTCACAACCCGAATGCTTCTCGAGCTAGCAATTGTCACGAGCCCAAGTCGAGTGCCCACGCAATGCTCGGGTCCAATCTATGAACCGCATTCAAATATCGTCACTTGGGTGTACTGCGATCCCCGAGTTACGTCATCAAATTTTGCAAAGGAGAGATTGAATGAAAATGATCCCTTTTGTCCTTGAAATTACACCGCAACAAAGGAGTTTCTTGGCCAATGGTGTTGCGTGTGAGTATCCTTGAGTCCCACTAGTGCCAGTAAGCTCGTGTAGAAAGAAAAACATTCCAATTGAATATCGTTGCACAGCTCCTTTAAGAAACACACACGGCAGAAGAAAGCTGCAATCGCAACCCCCAAAAGCCCCTCCCCTAGCTAGAAGTGTTCTGACAAAGTCAGAACGGCAGGCAGGGCGTCTCTTGTGAACGGCCGAGCTCCAGCACGTCTTCGTTGCCCTTCGTTGCGATGTGGCTGCACGTGAACGCTCGACGGTCGCGAGATAGAAACCCTGTCGACGGTTCGAAGCTAGTGCTGGAGGAACTGAAGCTTCTCCCTGCCGTTCTCACCCTGCCAGTGATTGTAGTTGAAATATTCGTGCCAAAGGGATCCAACATCGCGACCGAAGCCCCGTCAAACACCTCGAGGGAAGCGACAGACGCGCACGAAAATCAGATATTCCGTCACGCAGGCACTGCCAACTGACTTTCCCGCGTTCGGTAGTGATTCTGTTTTTATTCTGACACCAATTCTATTTAGTTTTTCCCGCGTATTTAGCAAAACTGATCTTCCAACGAACGATGATGATGATGCAAACTTTTATTATAATATGGAAATATCCGAAGGTGGGTGGGGCCCCTAGTCCAGGGCTCCAGTGCTGGCCGCTGCTGCCTTGGCCCGCTCAACCAGACTACGCTGGTCGTCCGGGTGCGAGCTGAGCAACGCAGCTTCCCAAGTCTCCGGGGAAGGGGAGGAGATGGGGGGAAGGGATGGGTGGGATTGGCAGGTCCACGTGACGTGGTATAATGAGGGGTACCCTGAGCAATGTGGGCAGCTAGCAGGGTACATAGTGGGATAAAACTTGTGGAGGAGGGCGAGGTGTCTGTAGGTGTGGGATTGGAGTTGGCGCCAGATCACGGCCTCTTCCCGCGTTAGGCTCCGATGTGGAGGGGGGTATCTAAATCTCTCGCCTCGTTGATGAATTAGGATTTCAGAGTATTGGTTGGGTACGGGAATAAATTTGAGAATTGTGTTGTGGTCCTCTGTTTGTGGCACCCGGTGTGTACAGGCTCGGGCTACGGCATGGGCTTGCCGATTTCCATCTACAGATTCATGGCCAGGAGTCCAGATGAGCGTCGTTTCTGGAAGCGGGGTTTTGATGTCTGTTAAGATGCGCAGAGCGCATGGTGAGATCCTGCCCGCTCGGAATCGTCGCAGGGCGGTTTGGGAATCGGAGAGGATATTGAGGTATTCCTTGCCGGAGGCGATTGCCAGGGCGATGGCCGTTTCTTCTGCCTCCACTGGATTGATAGTGCGGATGGAGGCCGTAACTACCGTCTTTAGATCGTGGTCTATCACGCTGACTGCGGCCGCTGGTTGATCCGAGTACATGGCAGCGTCAGTAAAACGGGTGTCTGCCTTGCTGCTATATTTGTGTTGGAGGGCCCGAGCTCGGGCAATGCGGCGGCCGGAGTGAAGGATGGGATGCATGTTCTTGGGGATCGGGGCCACTTGAATGTGGTCTCGTATGGCCGTTGGTAGGCGAACCGTGTTCCGCACCGAGCTGGGTATCGGGAAGTGTAATTTATGGAGGACTGTGCGGCCGGTGGGGGTGAGGGCCAGCCGTTCTTGCTGGCTGGCTAGGTGTGCTTGTATGAGCTCTTGAAGGGTGTTATGTACGCCCATGGCTAGGAGCTTATCTGTGGCGGCGTAAAGTGGCAGGCCCAGAGCAATCTTGAAGGCTTTGCGGATAAGGATATTTATTCTGTTCTTCTCACCCTGGTTTAAGTTGAGGTATGGGATGGAATAGGTGATGCGGCTGGTGATGAGAGCCTGGGTGAGCTGGATCACGTCGGTCTCCTTGAGCCCGTGTTTGCGGTTTGTGATGCGTCCCACCATGCGCATGATTTGGGTGACTGTTTTTTGGAGGGTTTGTATGGTGTAGTTTGCCCTACCGTCTGCCTGCAGATGGAGGCCAAGTACCCGGAGCCTTGGCACCGTCGGGATGGGGATGCTGCCATCGAGGTAGAGTTCGATATTGCTATTCTGGTCGGGGTGCCGCTTGTTTCGGCGATGCAGGAGGAGTAGCTCTGATTTCTCGGCCGAGCATTGCAAGTTGCCCGAAGTAAGGTATCGTTGGACGGTGTCTACCGCGGTTTGTAGTGCGTCTTGTTTGGAGCCCTCCGACCCCGAGGTGGTCCAAATGGTGAGATCGTCTGCGTATAGGGTGTGTCTGATGTGCGGGATTTCCTCCAACTGTTCGGGCAGCTTGCGCATGGCCAGATTGAAAAGTGTGGGGGAGAGAACGGAGCCCTGTGGGGTGCCCTTGTTGGGGACGGGTAGAGGGTCCGTTCGGATGGAATCTATGCCAATGGTCGCTGTGCGGTTCCGAAGGAAGTTACATATGTAGTTGTAAGTCTTCTCTCCGCAGTCTGTGGAGGCTAAGTTCTGAAGAATTAGGGTGTGGCTGACGTTATCGAAAGCTCCTTTAATGTCTAGAGCGAGGAGAGCTTGGGTGCTGCAGGAGGATATATTATCTATGAGGTCTTCTTTGAGTTGTAGAAGCACGTCTTGAGCGGACAGGTGGGCTCTGAATCCAAACATGGTGTGTGGGAAGGCTTCTGTGTCTTCGAGGAAGGGCTGTAGACGGTTAAGCACAACGTGCTCGAACAGTTTCCCGAGACATGATGTAAGGGAGATAGGCCGTAGGTTGTTCAGGCTGGGTGGTTTGCCGGGCTTTGGGATTAGAACAATCTCAGCATGTTTCCAGTCTTCCGGGAGTTTGTGGGTTTCCCAGATCTGGTTGAAGTACGTGGTGAGGTCTTCGAGAGAGTCAGGATCGAGGTTGCGAAGGAGGCGGTTCTGGATTCCATCTTTACCAGGGGCCGTGTTTCTCGTGAGGTATAAGCACAGCATGGGTGATCTCCGTTGTCGTGAAAGGTCTGTCCAGGTCGGGATTGGCGGACCCCCTGTAGTTGGGGTAGTCTGTGTTGATCGCTGGGCCAATGTATCTCTCGGTGAGGTCCCGAAGAATATCAGCGTTCGTGCCCGGGTGATCGTGGATTATTTTACGGAGCATCTGGCTTGAGTGCCGTTTGCCTTTGGTGGGATCGAGCAGGTGCCGCAGGAAGGACCACGTGCGCGCGGTGCTCAACGTGCCCTGAAACCTGTCACACACCTGGTGCCAGTTGGATTGCGCTAATTTGGAGGCATATTGGAACGCCTCCTCTGTCAGTGTAGCAATTTTTAATTTAAGTTTGCGGTTAAGCCTTTGGCGGCGCCATCGTTTAAGGAGGCCTCGCCTGGCCTCCCAGAGATGGAGAAGGTATGGATCTACTGCTGGGGTATCTGGGGTGAGGGTAAGTAATTTTGTGTGTTCTTTGGCGTCCACGCATAGTTGCTGGAGCCAAGATTCGAAGTCTGGAGGTGAGGGGGAGTTTTTGTCCTTTCGCGCTTTTCGGAAGGCGTCCCAGTCAGTAAGCGCCTGCTTCCGAAGGGCTTTTCTTTGCGAATTGAGAGCGATTTCAATTTCAATTATGGAATGATCACTTCCGAGGGTTTCCTCTGTGTTCGTCCATTCCGCGTGAGGGGTGAATTTTACGAAGGCGAGATCGGGACAAGTGTCCCTTGTGATGCTGTTGCCTGTTCGCGTCGGGCAAGAGGGATCGGTAAGGGTGGTGAGCTGATGTTGACATATCGTTTCGTATAGCCGATTTCCCTTGGCCGTGGCCTTGGGATAGCCCCAAGCCTGATGTGGGGCGTTGAAATCGCCAACAATGAGAAGATTTTGTTGGGATAAGGTTAAAGCACTCGAGAATATGCGTTCAAATGCGTCTTTACGGTGACTGGGAGGGCTGTATATATTAAGTACGAAAAGACTGGGGGAATGCCTGCGCGTGGGGAGGAGTTCAACTAGAACGTGTCCAATTGAGGTCCCCGCTATGGTGTGTTGCTTAGCCGTGATGTGGTTAGCAATTAGCGTGGCCACCTGCGGATGGTCTGGGGAGGTAAAGGCTTGGTAGCCTGCTAGGGTGGGGATGATACCAGTTTCCTGCAGGGCAAGTACTTCTGGAGGGAATTTCTGATGGGCAATGTGCTGCGCAAGAGCAGCGCGTTTCCTGCGGTACCCTCGACAGTTCCATTGCCACACCCGAGTTGGGTTACAACTCGGTGGGCGTCGTGCCGTCATCGTGAGGCAGGGATAGTGGGGGGTATGGTTGGCAGCGTGTTTCTATCCGCCTATTTTTGCGGGTGGTGTAGAAATCCCGGTTGGCTTCTTTTAAGTCATGAATGTCGGCCTGGATTTGGTCGAATTTTTGGTTGTGGGCGCGGATGTTATCTGTAACCTCTTTAAGGGTGTGGCAGATTGTTTCTGCGGAAGGGATACTCGTAGTAACGGGGGCAGCAGGATCAGTGTCTCGCCGCTCCTGCGCAGTAATGCGCTCCTCCATGCGAGTGAGGCGCTCCATGATTTGGAGGAGGAGATTTTCTACCCTCTCTTGCCGCGCATCAGCTAGGGGGATTGTTGTGGGTGCCGCGGGAAGGGGGGGTAATGGGTTGGTGGTTGGGGGCAAGGTCTGAGACCCGGTGAGCCGCGTCGCCCAGCTCACCTGCTGCGTGTCGGTGTAGGGCTCCGTCCGGGTGTTGTCCGATTGAAGAGCCTGGCCACTGGTGGCTTCCTGCTTGGCGGATGCTCCCGCCGGTGTCTGTTTGGGCCCGGGCAGGTTTCCCCGAGGTTGCTGGCCAGGACGGGAATTTGTGCGAGAGGCCGGGCAGGATTGGGAGCGGGTCTGGTTCTGTTGTCGCCTGCTGTTGCTGCGGTCACGGCCTGTGTTGCCGTGTCCTCCCCTCCTACTTGGGCGGCTGACGCGCTGAGTTGCTCGGGGTTTGGCAAACCGCTGCGGACAGCTTGTATCATTGGTGGGATGGTCGCCGTGGCATTGGGTGCACTTCGGGGCGCACACATGGTCGGTTGGGGGGTTGGGTACTGCACACTTGAGGCATATTTTTATGTGCGGCGTGGGGCAGACGTCTGCCCGATGCCCCGCCACCAGACATTTAGTGCAAACCTGTCTGATGGGCCGGTAGGGGAAGCAGCGCTGAAGCGCGCTCTGGTACTGGACGTACGGGGGGATTTTGCGTCCCTCAAACGTGACGAGGGCCGTGCCAGTGTTGCCCAGTAGACGGGCATGCAGGATCCTGTATCCTGGGGCCTCTAGGTGATGGAGGAGTTTTTCGGGGCTGGACCCCGGTTCGATGTCGTGGACTACCCCTTTGATGGAGTTGTCCGGGGAGGCCACGTACGTGTATGTTGCGTAGTCCTTCCCGCCAAGTCGTAGGTGGTGGATCTGGGTGATGGCTTGAACGACCTCTATGTGGGCCGTGCTTACTATCACGATGTTGCGGTCGTGATTGAGTTGGAGTTTGGTTGCAGCGTGTAGTTCCTCGATGGTGATCTTAGCCTCCGTGCTGATGTGTTGGGCAACCTGGTACGGTTTCCAATTGGAGAGGTTGAGGCCGTCTCGCGGGCGCATGACGACTTTGAATTCTCCCCTCGGCAGCGGGGGTAGGCGCTGAGGTTTTTTCTGTGGACGGGGTATCGGTGGGCTGGGCTGTAGGGGATTGCCGGTGGTGAGATCCACTTCAGCGGTTGGAATCGCTCTCAACTTGTGCCCGCGGTAGTAGGCTGTGAACCAGCCGTCGCTACGGGTATTGGTGGAATCTTCTGCCGTGGTAGTTTCCATGTCAGTTAGGGAGGTTTCTGGCGTTGACGAAGCCATCCTGGTTGTAGTTCAGGCCGGGACGCTCGCTGCGGCGCTGCGAAAATGGAGCGCTGCCGGCGTAGAGGTGGCTCTCATTCCAAGAGCTCTGAGATTCGGTGGGCTTAGTGCGGCGAGGCCACACTCGGAGATGAAGAACGTCCAAAAAGTAGGTTTCCGGGCCGCTCACTTGGTCGATGATGGTATTGGCAGGACCGGAACGGTGAAAGGTGTTAATTTATTATATCTTCAGGAGAGACCCATGAGATGGACCGGGTTACTGAGAGAAGAACTCGCGGGGGCCTGTGTGGGATTTTTCCACTGGATCCGACCGTCGTCTTCTTTTCTTCTCGGCGGACGTGCAGCGGCGGGCCGACGGAGCGGGGCGGTGCGGTGTTTATGCCAGGATCACGTTCCGTTCTCCGGGGTTCGCGGGGCCCGGAGGACGACCGCTCTCTTCGGAGGTTCGCAGCAGACCTCCAACGAACGAGAAACTTACTTTTGTCGGAGCACCGACGTGGTCCAGGCTTGGCGCCGTTCGAGTCTCGCACGGCTTTTCAGGGAAGCGGTAGCATTTTAAAGGAGCTGTGCAACGATATTCAATTGGAATGTTTTTCTCTCTACACGAGCTTACTGGCACTAGTGGGACTCAAGGATACTCACACGCAACACCATTGGCCAAGAAACTCCTTTGTTGCGGTGTAATTTCAAGGACAAAAGCGATCATTTTCATTCAATCTCTCCTTTGCAAAATTTGATGACGTAACTCGGGGATCGCAGTACACCCAAGTGACGATATTTGAATGCGATTCATAGATTGGACCCGAGCATTGCGTGGGCACTCGACTTCGGCTCGTGACAATTGCTAATTCGAGAAGCATTCGGGTTGTGACCCGTGTCCAATCGCTGCAACGACGACAACAGCCGAGCCATAACAATGTCTGGAACTCAGCGCCTGTCCTGCGCTTTTCCAACCCCAGCGCGTGGCTATGATAAACACTGGCGGCATATAATCGGCTCCAGATCACGTGGCCGCTTGTTCTGGCAGCGAGTTGAGGGGGTGAACGCTGCTCGTTTTTCTTAAATTTTTTTCTGGGACCTCTATTGTGTGGGGTGAAAAACGAACGCGTGTTTCATAGGTCATTAACGTTAGGGATCCGTTTTAAGCAGTATTTGTGCACAGTACAAAAATTGTTGCATCGCTCCTTTAAGGATCCACTAGAACAACATCGGAGATTGTTGCTGCGATCAACAACGAAATATTCGTGCTAGCCGGGCTTTTATATCGTCTCTATCGCAATGAATGTTATTTCCGACCGCCTACGACGGAGAAGCGAGGCGAAAAACAACGAGCCACTCGGACTCGAGCGTCCCGCCAGGGGCTGGAATGGCGCTGTAGTCGGCGGCGAAACTTGAGCGCTTCGGTCCTATATGCAGCGTGACCCCCGGCTATGACACGTACGAATTGTTCGCGGACGCTCCTCAAGCATATGTTTCAAGCACACGTTTACTTCATCGCACCTTCGTATACCTCGAACATATGCCTGCAGACGGTTTTTGTACGCCCCAGACTCAACTCTGACGGGTAGCCGAACCGTGTCACGTATCTGAGAAATAGAGTTTCTGGGTATTATATACGTTATGCCGATTCTCGGCAAGTCATCGTCCAAAGATTCCGTCGGCCCTCTTCATCACCACTCCGCTCCCGCGGGATATCTATCTTATCTCACCGCCGCTGCATCATAAGGTACCTGCTTCTAGGAACCTCGTCCCCGGCGGTTATTAGTTTCGCCCGCGTCGCCCTAATTGTCTTTAAGCGCGTGTCTTCTTCGGTGGGTCGACGTGTTGTTTTTAACCCGCAAGCGGCGACTTCGAGGAACGCTGGCACGCCTCAATAAGATGAAACAAAAAAACAGCACCCGAACATCGCTCTGTGCGTCGCGCGGGGGTTGCGCGATGAACTTTGTGTTCTCCGAATCGGCGAAAGCGATTCAGAAAACACAGTCTACCTCTATTTATTTTCTCTCCCTTTTCATCTCCATGTTCTCTGGTGGTTTCTTGACCTCCTCACGCGCGCCATGCTGATTCTGATTCGACAAATACCGTGCTGACGTAAGCGTTGCGTCA